GGGCAGGGATGAGCAGTGTGGGTGGGGGATGGGGGGGCAGAGGACTAAATGTGGGCCGCGCGGCCGAAGCCGGAGGGATGAATGTAGGAAAGTGGTTTCCCCAAAAGGCCGGGGAAAAGGGAGTGGGAGTGCCAAGGACTTGGAGTGAGGGGGTGAAGCGGGAGGGGGGTGTGCACGGATGTTCATGCGATCTGCCTGGTTGACCACCTGCTCGGCAAGCGCCCTGCGCAGGCGACCGCGGCCAAGCTGTGCCAAAGGCGCTGCCTTCCAAGGGGTGCAACTCGGTTTGCATGCGTCGAGCCGCCCTCAGTCAACAAGGGCTGCTCACCATACAGAATTGCGATTTCAGAGGAGCAGCCGGGGCCGCCTATCGGGCAGGAGGGTCAAGGGCAGCGAGGGTGATAGGGTTTCAGGGTTCAGGGTGGTCCATGTTTGCGCGGGAAGTCGAGGGGACGGGTGATGGCAAGGGGACGGACACCTGTTTCGTCGGATTACTCATCAACCGCCACGCGCACCAGTCATCCAGAGGATCACGGGGTCGTCCTCGCGGCTGCGGGAGCGGCTCTGGTAATAGAAGTAGAACATGTGGGCGTCAGCCTGCAAGAGGATTACGGGATGAGGGGAGCGGAGGCGGCCGGGAGTGGGGGCAGAGGGGCGGGGCAGGGCGGGTGGATGGGGAGTTGGCGGCGTGGATGCTGGGCGCGGCAAGCGGAGGCTTGAGAAGCACGGCTAGGTCAGAGGAGGGGGGCCGTGGGGCGTGGAGCGTGTTGCGAATCCTCGAGAGCACCCGAGCTGGGGCGCGCTCTGCACGCCTGCGGTGGGCGGTGCAGCCGCTGGCGCACGCAGCCAGGACCTCGGCCGTAAGCTTCCAACGATACTGTACCAAGCAAAGAGCTTACCGTGCGGTTAAGCTTAAAGTATCCAGCCACGCGCTTAGGAGGGTCCACGATCGGGACGCCGTTTGCGCCGCAGCGGGGCGTGGGCGGCGTGTACCCGGGCAGCTCCCCAATGGGACGCTCTACAAGCCTGCCAGACCGCGTAACGGCCACAAACGGAGCTTCTCCGTCCTCGAGCTTAGGGATGGACCGCACAACGCGCTGCTGAGGGGACATATGCTTGGTGGGATCCTTGATCTGAGCGCCCAGGGCAAGGCCCGTGCAGCAGAGCGCTGCAACCAGCACTAAATATCCGTTGATGCCCATCATGACCTCTCAATGCGGAGATCGTCACACAGGCCTCGGTGTATGTGACGAGGGCGAGGCGTTTTGAGCCTCAACAGAGGCCAGGGCGGTTGATACGATGCTATGACACCAAGCAATGTGTATGAAACATGTCATGGCCCACCAGGTTGAACAGGTGTGCGCTCGCTCCGGCGCTTGCTTTGCATGCGTGCGTCACCACAAGCGCTAGCGGTGACATGGCAGCGCGTGCCGTGTACAGGCCGTCGATGCACCCGCCTTTCCTACGTTGAACACTAACACCATGCTCCTGAGTGTTGATCTTGACGCTTACCTGCACAAAATGCTGAGTTACACACTGTTTGCGCCGCCTGCGGAAGCTCGCAGCAACCGGGAGGGTCGGTTGGGGATGGCTGCCCGGTCGCCTGTCCAGGCCTGAGCGCTTATGGCTCAGGATCTCTGATCAACGTGCCGGAATCGCGCCAAATTGACAACGTTACAAAGCGGCGGTGGCTCATTCGTCTTGCCACCGTCGTGGTGGTTGTACATACAAACACGACCCAAACGGATTTGCAACCTCCAAAAGCGGCCCTCGGCGCGCGGCGTACGCGGCCGTGGTGGATTCGCCGGGGCTGAGGACAGCGCCGGGGGTGCAGGGACACCACTCTACACAGAACACGCACCAGCCAATGGGGACGCCACGGCGCGGTCGCATCAAACGTGGCCGCTGCAGATGCCACGCGCTCTGGGTGCGATGCAAGCGAAATGCAAACAGGCGGCCGCCGGAATTTTGGGTGGCGCCGCGGCGGGGCGTAGCGCAAGGAAGCATAGGGGTCCACACGTCAAAACAGGGGGTTGAGTGAACAGGGAGTGGGTTGCCAGAGGATGCGAGGACGAGGGCTTGATAGGGCCTTGGGAGAGTACAGAGAGTCTACACACACGAAATCATGTGCAGCAGTTCCATGTGGTTTCATCCTATGCGCGCCACGCGTCACGCCTCGATCGCACCACCAATCCCACTCAATCTCGCGGCGCCGCCCAGCGGCAGCGGCGGCTGGGGCCGCCAAGAGCCGGGGCGGCAGCCTCAAAGGCCAACGCCTCGTGAAATTTGAGGGAGGCTGATAGGGGCCGACGAGCGCCGCGTCAGCCCTCTATCCGGGTCGCCTCCAAGCCAGCCGCGAGCTCGTCCGCGGCCGACGCACCCCCCGCAGCGCCAGCCGTCTGTTCCTGCTTGCCCGCCTCCGCAGCCACTTCCGCTGCCGCTGCGGGTGCCGCGCTGTCCTCCCCATCCTGTGCCTCCTGCCCCGCCGCCCCCTCCTCGGCAGCCGCGGCCGCGCCCGCGCCGTCGCCGCCGCCCGCAGCCGCAGCGCCGCCGCACCCCTTGGTATGGGCGGCGATGAGTTCTGGGTTGTAGGGGTGGATGGCGTAGCGGCCACAGCCCTGCGAAATGCGCGAGGCAGAGGGCGAGAGCACATGAGGGTCCACAAGGTCAACTTCGGGATAACACAGACAGCTGGCGCCCCACCTCCACCCCCGTGTTGGCCGCGCAGCCCCCAAGGCGCTCACGCCGCCCTGGGTCCTGTTCAGCATTTCCGCTCGCATCCCGCCGCAGTCGCGTCACGCTGCGCACGCCCCTACACATACAATAGCGCGTGTGTGCGCGCATGTACACGCACGCGTGCGCACGCAAACACACACACGCGCGCACGCACGCACGCACAAAGGCACGCGCGCATGCCGCTCTTCGCCCACCTCACACTGCTCCCCGTGTATGAGCGGGCACTCGTCGCCGCCCGCGCAGGCGCCGTGCGCCTCGTACTCTTGGCACAGCGGAATGTCTGAGGGATCCACCAGATCCTCCCCATCAAAGCCGTCAGGGTAGGCGCCGCCACCCCCGCTGCAAGCGGGCGCATGGGGTTGTCACGTCAGCGCCGGGGTGGCCCAAGGTAGAGGGCACGGCGCAGGCGCATAAAAGGGTCTCCATGACGCCGAAAGCACGCGCTTTGATTGTACAGTTCAAGTACAGAAGCAGCATGAGAGAAGCTGGTGGCCGGTGGCGACATGCGCTTTCATCTGGACTCACCCCTCCAGCTGCTCCTTTTGCCAGAGCTCAAACGCCTCCATCTCCTCAGGATCCATATAATCATCCCAATTGGGATTGGGGTCCTGTGGCGGTGGTTGGGGGCGGTTGGGTGGTCGCGCGTCAGAGCGCCTGCCTGGACCCCGGTCGCGGCCAGCGTCCGCCATTGTGACAACCCAACGGGCACAGGGGCGAGGGCCGGCGGCAACTTCCCAACGACGCGTTCAACAGCCGTCCCCGATGCCTGGCTGTGTTTGACAAGCCCCCTTTTGCGGGCCGCGTGTGCCGCATCCACTCATGCGCCTCAAGATCCCCAGATCTGGCCCTTCCCGCCGCCCACCGAGGACTCCATCAGCCCGAATTCGTCGGCGCCACTCGGCCACTTGTAGACACCCCCAGACCACTCCCCCTGCCCGGGCGGCGGTGGCCCGCCATACTGCGGCCCGCCTCCTCCGGGCCCCGCCGGCGGCCGCCGCGAGCTTGGCCTATGAAAGAGTGGGCGACGCAGGCGCGAACGGGCTGCAAGTTGGCCGCGCCTCACGCATCAAGGGGCGCAGCGTGGCTTCGGCCGCCCCATGAGCCATCCAGCCGCTGCCTGCGCGCCTGCCGCCTCGCTCGCGGCCATGCTTTCCGGGCTCCAGGCATCTGCGCATGCGCGCCTCAAGGCACCGCATGCGCACCTGATGGCGTCGCCGCGCCCGCCGGAGTGCTCGAAGCGGCACTGGTCCCCGTAGGCGCAGTTTCCGGCCAGGAAGAACTTGCAGACCTGCGACGAGTCATGCATGACGGTTCAAAGTGCAGCGGTATATGGAGGGGCGGGCACCGCGCTGCGCGGATGCCAGAGGGGTGCGGAGCGGGCTACGCGGCGGCCGCGGAGCCACACACGATGCCCAGGCGGGAGCTGGTGGCGTCTGGCGCAGCGGATTGATGCAGCTGCCTGGCGCCGCAGACAGCCGCACCTCGCGCCCGCCGCCTCCGCCGCCGCCACCGCTGACCCCGCCTGGCAACGCCCCGCCCGTCGTGTCGTGGCTGAAGCGGCAGCCATCACCAAAGGCACAGCGGCCGCTCATGAAGAACTTGCAAGGCACCCTGTTCCAGCAATACGCGTGTTGACATGTGCGGCACTTGTGTTGAGTGGTCACTCGGGACGCCACAGCATGCTTGGCGCCCCGGGTGCGCTGCATCCCGAGCTCAGGCACCCCGCCAGCAGCGCAAGGCGGCCAGAGCCACTATTCAGGTGATATAGGGATGCAATGTTCGCGTATTACACCCCGCACGACGCTCTGATAGCCCTCAGGCGATGCATGGCCCCGGGAACGATCTGGCCGCGCTCTCGGGCCTCACTTCGACGTCATGGTGCCGTGGAACCACCAAACACGTTATATATGCTAATTTTGAGCGCTGCTACGGCGGGTGCACGCGGGAGGACGAGGCTAGTGACTGGGTGCAATCAGCGGGTGTCTTTGTTCTCGTTGATGGCAGGGCCTCGTTTATCAACACGTCGCTATCGTATGTCAACGTTGGGAAGTCCTCACATGCATGCGTTGAGGTCGCGCTCTGGTCGCCTGCTTGCCTTTCCGCACTCGGCGTGAGCCAGCACGATCCCGGAGGGCGTATATGTCGGATTAAAATCCCAACAACTGCTCTGAATGCAGAAGATGACGGGCCTTGGCTGATCTCTCGCTCGTCAGCTGATTGCCCGCCTGTCCTGACATGATGGAGGAGGCCACGATCGCGGGAGGCGAGACAACCCCCAAGACTAGCATGGAGGAGCCTACTGCCGCAACTGCAAGGAGTAGCGTGCGTCCCTTTGCAGACGACCCGCGCCCGCACGGAGCCGCGCACGCGCCTCCTAACCGTCCGGTCGCACGCCAATGCCGGGCACCGCCACCGACAGACCCTGATCCGTGCACTTGCATGCGGCACAAGGGAACGAAATCACACAACCTCACCCAATTGCAGTCGGTGGAGCTGCAGCGGCTGGCCATTCGCATGCGCCGGGAGCTTGACTTGAAAGACAGGTTTGTCCCCCTAGGACAATGCCAGCGTCCCCGAGGCGCCGGCGAATGCCGCATGCATGCCAGCGCGCTGCGGCGTCTCTAGACAGGGCCGCCCCGCGCCGGCGCGCATGACGCGAATGGCGGCCGTCCTAGGGGCGGCCCGCGTGCGGGTCCCCCCGAGGGCGAGTGAGTCGTGCGTGCCACGCCGTGCCCTCATGCGCTACAACTGCATGGTCTGGCAGCACAGCGGTACCTTGTAAATTCACTTGTCATCCCCATCTCGCCTGCGCAGGATGCTGCACCTGCAGGCGTACCGAAACACGTTCACGGGGCCACAGGCCGTGACTTGGCTCACCAGCAGCGTCGGCGGCGGCGCGGGAAGCTCCGAGGAAGCTGTGGAGCTGGCAACACGCATGCTGCGCGCGGGTGAGCGGCGGCGCGCCCGGTGGCACGGGGGGCAGGCGTCCCGCCTGTGGTCCCTGCGTGGCTGACGCCAGCACGAGGCTGGCATAGCTGCACTTGGGTTGGAGCCATGCAGCCGAGGGCGGCAGCGCGTGGCAGGCGCACGCGCTTGCACACGTGCAAACGGCCACATAGACACACACGCACACGCGCACACACACACACACATACACACACGCGCACTTAACCCCCCTACACAAGGTTTTATCAAGAACGTGGCCCATCGCGACACCTTCACCGGCCGCGAGGGCGACGTGCTCAAGTTCGTGTCGGCGGCGCTGCCGCCGCGCGACGCCGAGTCCAGCAGCGGCGGCGGCGACTACTCTAAGAGCCAGCTCAAAAAGTGGGGCCCGATGATGGACCGCCGAGGGTGGGGGGCCAGGCAAGCTGGCTGGGACGGTGCGGCGGAGCGGTTCACGCGTGAACTTCAGGGTCTGCGGCACAGCTGCACATGCATGAGCGTAACTCTCGCTGAATCATCATGATCGCCATCATATTCCACACCACTGATTGCCTCCAACCAGGATTGGCTCTGGCTTTTCCAAGGAGATTGTGAAGCTAGGCAAGGCGGCGGCCGAGCCCTTCAAGAAGATCGAGCGGGCCATGGACACGATATCAGACACGATCAGCGACTACTATTACGGGTGGGGCCCCTGGAGTGCGTTGCATCAAGCACACACACCGTGATTTATCCGTTGACTGGAGAGGGTTGACTGGCAAGGGAGCCTTTTTTCACATCGTTTGCAAGTTGTGATGTGGGTGTGCGTCCTTGCGATTGCGCGCATGCGCTCACACGTGCATGTGTGTGTGTGTGTGTGTGTGTGTGTGCGTGCGTGCGTGCGTGTGCGCGCGCGTGTACATGCGCGCGCAAACGTGCGCGCGCGCGTACGTGCACGTGCTGCATTTGTGCGAGCGTGTGTGTACGTTTCCAGAAAATCTTTGGGTGGCTGAATTTTTCCTAGACGTAGCGGCAGGCTTGACGGGCTGATCACCATGGAACGAGTCCTTGAGTGGGCAGGGTGGGCAGGGTGGGGCACAACGGGTGCTGGTGTGTAAGGTTGTTGTCTTAACACGTGTCTCAAGCCTGTTTTCACGCGCGGCGCAGGTCAGCAAACGGCGGCAGTGTGGGCGGAGGAGCGGCAGGGGCCAGCGTGGCTGCCAGCGACTCTGGCGCAGCAAACGGCAGCGACGGCGCAAGGGCAGGGGCGTCCGGGACTGGCTCGCCGGCGCCCGCGGCCGGCCGCGGCTTTACGCCCGCGCGCGGTGGCGGCAGCTTTGGCCCTTCGCGGCGGGCTTCTGGGGTGACGCTTGGCGGCGGGGCCGGCACGGGCGGAAGCGGCGGGGCGCGAGTCTCACGTGCTGTCAGCAACGCAGGCAGCGGCGCACTGCCGAGCGCGCGGTCGAGTTTCAAAACTGGGCAGCTGGATACACAGAAGGTGCGCACAGCTTTGGCGGGTCGCACCCCCCAGGACGCCCCATGCATGCCGCAGCTTCCCCTGCGACTTGGCACACAAGATCAAGCCAGCTTGGCACGGCATGCACTCCAAGCTGCTGGGCCCTTGCATCGATTCGCCCCCTTGCTGACGTCTTGACCCTGGCGCCGCGCGCCCATTTGCTTTTATGGCGGCCGCAGCCACCCCC